GTCTATTTTAGACTTCAAAATGCAAATCGCATCTATAATTTTTTGCAGTTAAAGAGGGACGCTGCCCTGTGCTATTTTGTATCTTGCATCTTCTCCTCCACCCCCCCATCCATTTAGAGCAAACACGGTCTCAGGAACTAAATATACTTCAAACGCCTCATTTTTAAGGACGCGGCAAGGAATTCCATTGAGCAAATGGACGGTGACTTATGTAATCATGTTCCTATTTAAGGACTTTTACGTTGGGCGCGGAGAGATAGTGCCGCAGAACCTGCGGACCGAGCCGAGACAAGTCGAAAATGGGAGGTTGGTGGACAGCTAGCTAGGTAGCTGAGCTGGGTTTTAAGCACACAGGGACGGAGGAAAGAGGGCCAGCAAGGCCGCGGCCGGCGGAAAGCAATGGGCCGGTGAAGTGGGATTTGGGCGCCGCGCGAGGCGGAGGACGGTTGGTTCCCAAAGTCAAAGGGCAGCGGCTGAGTTGAGACCCACCCAATTAACTGGGGCTACGCGCCCCAAGGCCCGAAAGCTGGTGCGCCGCCGCCTCTGACCAACAGAGGGCGCTGTGTCCTCAGCAGTTCGCGGTGGGCGGCTCCCAGCTGCTGGCCAGATGTAGGCAGCTGGACCGCGGGAGGCGCGAAGCCCTACCCGAGCCCCTGCAGACCCGCAGGCGGAGGAGGGAGGGGAGAAGAAGGGACGGCAGGGGGCAAGGGTGGTGGCAGAGCACTCCAACTGTCTTGCTCTGCAGACTCCTGGACTGCCTTCTCCTGTAGGGCAGAAGAGGGGCGCCTCCCACCCAGGGGGGGGGGACGTTTTCTGATTCCCACCAAAGTGCAGTCTGGGCTACCCGTGGCCCTGGGCTGGCTCAGCATAACCCAGAGGGGTCCACAGGGCGGGGTGCAGGGCCTGGAGAGACCCACGCGGCAGTCTGCAGCGGGAAAGAGAGCTGGACTTTAAGGCCTTGAACTTATTGAGAATCCAGCCCTTGACTCCAGATGTTCTAACATCCACACAGACCGTCTCTGAGCTCTTTCTGCTCTGAGTGCTGTGTGCATTGGAGGAGTGAGAAACTGAGGCACAGCGGGATGGAGTACTGAGCAGACCTCTTCTCCCCATATTGTCTGCGGCGGAGAAGCTGGGCTAGAGTCCGAAGCTCAAGTGAAGGACCCCGGGGCCAGGGACAACCCCAGGGACCCCGCCCCCTTGACCTGCCCGCTGTCCCCACCCCTGGCCGCTCCCCAGGCTCCGGCAGGGGTAATCAGCTGCTGCGTGTTGCTGTAATTGGCAGCGCAGACCCGGCCTGGCGCAGGGGCGGGCGAGGGGCTTAATTGCAGGGCTTTGGCCAGCAGTCTAGGCTGCAACTCCACTGGGGGGAAGGGAGCGGGCCCCTTAGCTCCGCAGGCCTGGCTTTGGAGGAAGCCAAAGGCCTTTGGGTAGGTAGCCGGGGATCCCTTCCCCGGAAACTGGGGTTTCGTGAGTTGGGGGGAGGTTGAACCCCAGCGAGGGTGAAAGGCGGAGGAGCGGGATGCCTCGGGAGAGCTGCGGGGGTGGTGGGGGCAGATTCCAAACTCCCCACCCAAACCCCAGAAGCCCTGGTTAGTCTAGTCCGAGACTCCTCCCTCATTCTGACCCCCCTCCCCTTTCTGCTGCCCCGGTTACCCCCCTTCTTGTATCCCCAGGGCGCTCCCACCCTGGGGAAGAATGTGCCCTCCTTGCGCACCCTTGCCATGGCAACGGCACACCCCCACCCCCGCGCACCGCAGCAGCCGGGCCTGGCCCCGCGGGCGGCGAGAAAAGAGGGGGGGGCGGGCGCCTCCCAGCCCCGAGGACACACCTCGGCTGCCCTGGTTACCACAGTAACCGGGGGCATTCCGAAGTGCGCAGTCGCGAAGTGGCAAAGGGCTTCCTCACGATCCTATACCCCCCAACCCACTAGCAGGGGTTAGCGGCTCCAGGGAGAGACCTCCTCCGCGCCAACCCTAACTTCCAGGACAAGGTCCAGAGAAGAATCATGGGGTGTCCCAGCTTCCATACACCGCAAGCCTAGGGAGCAAAGGCATCTGGGGCCCCTGAAAGCCTAGCACCTGAAAAGGGATACCCCAGTCGCCAGCTTGTCCTCCTCCCCCACCAAAGCTCGAGGGAGGCGCTGGCAGCAGGAAGCTGGGGAAGGGCCCGGAGGAGCGCAGGCCCCACAGCCGAACGGTGATTACAGGGACCTGTCCCTCCCGCCCCCAGCTCCCACTCTCATTAAGTCATTTTTTCCCCTGTTGGAAAGTCCCCGTGCCTTGAGCGCAGGGGCTGGGGCGACCGCAGGCAGCTGCCGGCAACCACATGAGAAGTGGGGGGAGGAGGAGAGAAGGGGGCTGTGACTAGAGCCTGGCCACACTCCAAAGTGGAAGGCCCCCTGCCGGGGGCTAGCTAGGGGCACATTAATTTAGGGGAAGTAGAGGGAGCTCCGGGATGACCCTGAACTTGCTTCTCACGCGCCGGGGCTCTCCTACAACTACAAGTCTACCTTTGAGTGCCTCTACCCTGGACCTTGGGTGACTGCAAAGCAGGATGCCTGCGTTCTGATCTCATCCCAGCCTGGCTGCCTCTCCCTGACCCTTAACCCCACCACTACCTTCTAATCTGTCCACCACCCTCATTCTGTTATTTCCCTTCCTCCTCCTCCTTTTTCCTCCTGCAAGGAGGTAACCTAGCGCCCATCAGGTGAAAGGTGTTGGTGGCAGGGGATGTCCTCTCCTTCTCTGAATGATCTCTACCCACCTTCTGTCCTCATTTCCAAATCTCACCCCCGATCCTTCGCAGGCTGTTGGCAAGTTCTTCCTCCCTTCTAAACTGCACCCTCCCACTTTATTCCAGCCCATTTCCCCTATTTCCCGTCAGTTTATTGATCCCTGCCACACCCTTCATCCAGTATGCATAAGCTCAGTGCCATTTGGGCCCCATTTTCCTACCCTCCGTCACCTCCACATTTTCCTAATTTAGGTTCCTTATCAAGTCCCATACACCCCTTTTCAACTGTGGGCGTCAGCTTTCATCCCAGAACTCATCAGCTTCTGGGCTTCACAAGTTAGGTTAACACATATCAGATCACCTTGACTTATGTCATTAAAGCATGTCCCCTCCCTACAACTCCGGGTCCAGCCTCCTGCCCCACCCAACTACCCACCCCTCTCTCTGCACTGAACACATGCTTTGCAGCATGGCTGCTCCTACCTTATTCCAGTCCTGATCCTCTACCTCTCATCTTCAGTCTCCCCTCCCCCAGCTCGGTCCTCCTTAAGCCTCGAAGGCAGAGGAGGGTTAGGCTAGGACTAATGTTGCAGTGGACACTGCTGGGCATGGCAGCACCCCCTCAACCCCAGGCCTCCATTTACCCCACCTCTTCTCTCCTCCTTTCTGGGATGGGAGGGAGGAAGGGGGTGGAAAACCCAGCCCCCACAGCTCTCCTAGGTGATCAAGAGGAAAGGAATGAGGCAGGTGTGTCTGGTTGCTCCTGCCTACCCCTCCTCCTGGGGGACTCTCACCCGCCCGCTTGTGGGGCTGTCTTTTGGGGGATGGGGAAAGAAACCCTGTCCTCCAGAGAAGCAGCAGAGCTGAGCATTTGGAAGGCCCCACTACCATAGGCATGCCTGCGAGCTGCTGGCATTTGAAGGGGAAGGAGATGAGGGGCAAGCTCATGGGGGCAAATCTCCCAGCTGGTGGGCCTACTGGGGTGTATCACTAAGAGGCCCCCCTTTCCTTCTCATTCCTACCCAGGGGTAAGGAGACATGGATCAGGGGTGGAAAATATGGAGAATTTGTGCAGGCTGGTCACTGGGGAAAGGAATAAGTCTTCGTCCTTGCCTGGTTCATCAAGAGGGGTGCTATTCTAGGGTAAATTGAGGCAGCCAGCAGGATCCCCAAGTGTGAGCAGCATGAGGCCTGGATGCAGTAGGTTGTGTTCTTTCCCTGAGATCCTGACCTCACTCCCCTCTCCACTGCCCTCCTTCTTGAGGGTCTGTTCCAGAAAAACATCAGATCCAAGAACCAAGGAGAGTGCAACACTGGACACAAACTGCTCAACAGTGTCCTCATGGGGACATGAGGGTGGGGAGGGATTGCTGACCTGCTAAGGAGCACCCTGATGTGGGGATCTGGGAGCACAAGAGACCCAGGAAGAATGTGCCCCCTGTACCTTACTTATATACCCTGCCTGGACTCAGAGAGACCAGAATCCAGACAGTGAGTCTCCGGGCCCTCCTCCGCCACCCTTTTCCCAGCCGCGCCTCCTGGCCCCACCTGCTCCCCGGGGCGCTGGGCTGGGCTGAGCTGGGTCTTGCCCAGGATTACTCCTCTGAGTGCCTCCTGTCTCTGCAGACAGTTGCTGCTGGGCACGGCCACTCGTCCTGGCTTGTGGCAGAGGGCTCAGGCACAAGGTGGGCGGTTAGAGCTCTGGCACCAGAGCCCTTCTCAACATCCCCACTGCTTCCAACCAGTCCAAGCCCCATCTCTGATTTAGAAGATAGTTGTTATTCCTCACTGGCTTACCAGCTGTCACCTCATCCCCCTTCAGCCTGTTCCCCATCAGCGATCCACGTGAGACTTGGACCATGACACTCCCCTGCTTAAGAATCTCAAGGTTCCCATTCCTCTTTAATAAAATCCCAACTCCTTACCTTGGCTTAGAAAGACACACGATGTGACTTTTGCCCACCCTCTGAATACTTCCCTTGCTAGTCTGTCCCTTGATTTCTTCACTGCAATCACAATGGCCCCTCTGCTGTTCCTCCAGCAGGCAGAGATCTTTCTCAGCTCACACTGTCTGCCTTCATATGGCCTCTGCCTGGAATGCCCTTACCCGTACTCTTTGCATGGCTTATGGTGCAGGTCCCAGCATGGGTATCACCACTCAGAAAGGCCTTCCCTGAGGAACCAGCGGCTTTGTCTGAGGAGCCCCACTCCCCACAAATCCCCCTACACCCAGCAGCCTGCACACAGCATTGTCTGAAATGACCTTGTTTGCATATTTACTTGTTTATTGCCCATGCCTCCCCCCAGCAAGAATGTAACTTCCAAGAGGACAAGTGCTGTGTCTCACTTACATCTGTGGCCCCAGTGCCTCACATTGCCACCCCCACGCCCCCCAGAGTGCCGCAAAGAGAGTGCAAAATAAATATTTGTTAAATGAATGATGAGGGGAATGGTAGGGGAGGGTGTCTGGGCCATTTATGGAATTACTTCAGCTCAGTTATGTCTATTTCTTTTTTTTAATCTTCCTCTCTCTGCCCATCAGCTTCTATTCATTCCCTACCTCCCATCTCCAGGGAAGGGGTGAAAGGATGGAGACAGACTGAGGGATTGCCTGGCTGACGCTTGTTTTAGTGTATGGGGCAAACCCCAGCCCAACCGAACTGTCTGGGCTTAGGGGAGGCAAGAAGAACCCAGTAAGTCCTAGAGCCCACAGAAGTGAGTGGTGGGGTTCAGACAGGCCTGGACTGTCCAGCGATCACAGACCTCAGAGCTGAGAGGTTCCTGTAAGATCATGTGGTCCAATCTCCTCTCCCAAGAGCCAAGGCGATGCTGCCTTGCCAAGGCCGTAAGCCTCAGAGGGCCAGGCTCCAGGAGGGGACCTCGTTCAGGGCCCAGGGGACCCCGGGCCGCTCACTTGCAGACGCTGACCCACTCGGTGATGCGGCACTCTTCGCAGACCACGAAGCAGCACCAGTGGAAGCGGCAGTGGCAGCGCTCGCTGCGCGTCTGGCGCAGGATGTTGTGGCCGCGGCCGCAGCACATGCTGCCGCAGCCATCCGAGCCCGCGCTGCTCTTGTTGCACAGGCGGCCCACGGTGCCGGCCGAGTCCAAGCGCGGCTCGCGCTCGCAGAAGTCGGGTGACTTTTCGAAGTAGACCAGGTCGGCGGGGCTGGCCCGGCGGCGCGGCCCGGGAGCGCCGGGAGCCGGCGAGGGTGCCCCCGCTGGGCCCGGCTCCAGCTGGCCGCCGTTGCGGTTGTGCGGCCGGATGAGCGTGGCGCGGTGGAAGCGGCTGCGCAGCAGCGCCCCCACGGTGCGGAACTCGGGCGTCACCTGCCAGCACGTCTTGAGCTGGCAGCTGCCTGACGTGCCGTGGCACTTGCACTTCCGCCGCATGTTCTCCATCACTGCCTGCGGAGGGAGGCACCGTGAGGGGTGACATCGGCGCCCAGCCCCACTGCCCTCCTCCCAGCGCTGAGTCTGGCCTGCTTCTGAAACCCACTCCCATTATACAGAGGCAAACGCTGAGGCCCCGAGCGAGGGTCCCACAACCAGACAGTCAGAAAAACTTCTGTACCTGCTCTTCTGCCTCTGCCTCTCCTACCCACCTCCCACCAGGCCAGGCCCCGGGGGAATTCCCACCTTCCGGCTCCCCTCCTCTCCTGCCCACCTTTCCAGCAGCTGCAGGGGGCCCTTGGGGCTGGAGGCTCTTGCTTCCTGAAGGGGGATCCCAAATCGGCAGGGAAATTCCCTCTCCTGCCACCCCTGGGGTAGGGGCCAGGAGCAGGAGGGTGCTGGCCCCGTTGTATCTCGCTCCAGGTTGTGTGTGTGTGTGTGTGTGTGTGTGTGTGTGTGTGTGTGTGTGTGTGTGTTGGGGTGGGGGGCGGTGTTCAGTGAGTTTGAGAAAGCCTTGGTCCCCCTCTCAGTGCTTCCCCTTCCCGTTCCCCCTACATCTCTTTGTAGAGAGCCAAAGGAGGGGCACAAGTGCTGGGGAGACTGCCCCCGGATTATGCTGCCTGGGACTCATTCTGCACTATGCTGAGACCCATGGTTCCTCCTAGGAAAAGCCAGCGCCACCAGGGGCCAAAGCTCTACCTGAATATAGAAAGGAACCAGAGAGAGCCAGGCTCTACAGCCCAGTGAAAGTGGAGAAGCCCTCAGGCCTCCAAGGGAGGTGGTTATGGGAATGAAACCTAACCACCCCCAACCCAGCTCACAACCTCGTCTAGAGTCTCCTCACTAAGAACCCTTTGACATTTTCACCAGAAACCCCATAAGAAGTTGGCCACATCCCCTCCTTTCCCTCAGTCTACTCCGAAAACACACTCTGAGACAGGGACAGCAATGATCCAGGGCCCTTAAACTTGGGCAGTAGGGCAGGGCCATAAGAGAGGGTGCCTTCCCCTCGAGGTCTGAAAGGGCTTCTCAGCGTGCATGTGCAGCCTGTGCTGTCAGCACCACGTGGGAACCAGCCCAGTGCCTCCCCAGGCCAACAGCTCCAAAACATCTGCTTCCCACGGGCAGCAGCCATTAATTAACCAGTTTAACGAGGAGGAGGCACCGTTGGTATGGGCTGGGATGGCGGTGAAGCTTGGGAAAAGAGCTGTACAAGGCAGGCTGGGTGGGAGCTGGACATGACCCAAGGGTAAGTGTGCCTCAGTTTACCCCGCCTCTAAGTGAGGATGGGAATTGCTGAATCAGCTTGGAGTCTTTGTGCAGGAAGATGACCCATCGTGGGCTAAGAGGCCAAGAGAAAGGAGGGTGAGATGGAGAAGGTGCCAGCCAGAGTGAGAGGAAGCCAGGAAAAAGGCCTCAACAGGCTGGGCAGAGTCAAGAGAAGGGATGATGGAGGTGGAATGTTCAGGAAAGGACAGTGCTGAGCTACCATGAGAGCCAACAGAGCATCAGAGTGCAGATTCAACGCTGTAGAACAAAAGAGCACAGGCTCAGAGGTCAACTTCCTGGGGATGAATGCTGCCTGGACCACCTTCTCACTAGTTGCATCATTTTGGGTAAGCTTCTTGGTCAATCCGTGCCTCAGTTTCCATATCTCAACATAAGGTTAATAACAGTGCCCACCTCATAGGTAGTTGTAAGGATTAAATAGGTTAATATGTAGGAAAGTGCTCAAGACAGTGCCTAACACATAGTAAGCAATCGATAAATGCAACCTATTACCCCTTTCCTTTCTTCTACTTTTTTATGTATGTGTGTATGTATTTGTTTTTAATGAATGACCTTTGAGGTAGTAGGAGCATTTGAGGACAGAGGATAAAGGAGGAAGGCACCGTAACACAGTTCCCCAGTGAACCCTAGGAACTTCACTTACACCCCTTACTTTGCAGGAATCCCTCATTCTAGACTGCACAGAAAGGCTGGGAGAGATCACCGGATCATGGAACATTAGCATTGTGGGGAACCTTAGGGATGATCTAGTTCAACCTTCTCACTCCACAGGGGAGGAGTCAGATGGCAGTGCCAGGCCTAGACTCCTGCAGTCCTGACTGCACCCCTGTCCTTTCTCCTGGGTGATCTCCCGAGGAAGTAGGAGGAGCAGGTTGCTCAGCAGGTGGTATGCTGATCCAGGGCAACAGGGCTTGTTTCAGCCTTGTATCCCCAGGCCTAGTCCAGTGCCTGGTGCACAGGGCATACTCAGTGCATGCTTGTTGAATGAGTTAGACAGGGTCAATGAGAAGATTGCCAAGGTGTGACGTGCGGGAGCAATGTGGTCCTCAGAGGAGAGATAGGCCTGGGCAAGGGGTAGGCCCTAGGCAAAGGGATTTGAAGCAGACCTGGGTGTGGGGCTCTCACCTGCCTCCCAACTCGGTTGTTGTGAAGCCTCATTCTTGCGTGGATGTCTCTGTGAGGCTCCCGGGAGTCCAGAAAGTCCTTAGAGAAGCGCTCCCCAAAGCCCATGTCGGGGCTGCAGCCGCCCCACTCCCAGGAGTCCTGCAGGCCTGGGCTGGCTGTGGGCAGGGCTGGGTGTTCCGGGACCCCATGGCTCAGGCCCTTACCACGCTGCAGTGCGTCCAGTTGTAGGCGGTGCAGCTTCCTACGGAAGGCCTCCTCATCCCCTCGCCGGGACGCGTCGCAGCCACAGGCCTTTAGTTTGCCCAGGGCACACGCATTGGACACGGCGTGTACAACACCAGCTGCCGCGATGGCGTAGGCAAAAGCGCTCTCTCGGAAACCTGTGGTTAAAGACCCAGAATACATGGACTCTGGAGGGGCCTCGACACCCCATTCTCCAGCCCACCCCTCTCATCATCCCAAGGAGAAACTGAAGCCCGGTATGTAGGAGACAGTGTGTGTTGTTAGATGGGGCTCAGTATGCAAGGACAGTATGCAAGCCCAGTATGCAAGGACACAGAGTCAAAGAAGGGCAGCAATCACGCCAGAAGCCAGTTCTTCTGCACACAGAACCTGGTGGGGTGGGAGGGAAGCTTCCCAATAGCCCTCTGCTTTTTGTACGCCCTTCTCCTATTCTTTAACATCACCTTTAGTAAACTCAGAATTTGTGTGTCTACATCTCTACTGTAGGGCAGAAAGTATCTGCTAAACACATTCTTTTTACAATCAGGGACTTAATCTATTACCTTTCACGGTGGTATCTGCAATTTTAAAATAAGCCCACAGAATGAGGGCAATGTTTAACCTAAAGAATTCATTGCCAGTGATGTTGCTGGTGGGAATGTAAACTAGTACAACCACTATGGAAAACAGTGTGGAGATTCCTCAAAGAACTAAAAGTAGAACTACCATTTGATCCAGCAATCCCACTACTGGGTATCTACCCAGAAGAAAAGAAGTCATTATACGAAAAAGATACTTGCGGCTGGGCGCGGTGGCTCAAGCCTGTAATCCCAGCACTTTGGGAGGCCGAGACGGGTGGATCACGAGGTCAGGAGATCGAGACCATCCTGGCTAACCCGGTGAAACCCCGTCTCTACTAAGAAATACAGAAAACTAGCCGGGCGAGGTGGTGGGCACCTGTAGTCCTAGCCACTCGAGAGGCTGAGGCAGGAGAATGGCGTAAACCCGGGAGGCAGAGCTTGCAGTGATCTGAGATCCGGCCACTGCACTCCAGCCCGGGCAACAGAGCGAGACTCCGCCTCAAAAAAAAAAAAAAAAAGAAAAAAAAAGAAAGAAAAAGATACTTGCACACGCATGTTTATAGCAGCACAATTTGTAATTACAAAAACATGGTACCAGCCCCAATGCCCATCAACCAACAAGTAGATAAAGAAATTGCGGTATACATATGTCACAGAATACTCCTCAGCCATAAAAAGGAACAAAACAATGGCATTCACAGCAACCTGGATGGAATTTGAGACTATTATTCTAAGTGAAGTAACTCAGGAATGGAAAACCAAATATCGTATGTTCTCATTTATAAGTGGAAACTAAGCTATGAGGATGCAAAGGCATAAGAATGACACAATGGACTTCGGGGACTCGGGGAAAGGGTGGGTGTGAGGTGAGAGATCAAAGACTACACATTAGGTACAGTGTACACTGCTCGGGTGATGGGTGCACCAAAATCTCAGAAATCACCACTAAATAACTTATTCATGTAACCAAACACAACCTGTTCCCCAAAAACCTATTTAAATAAATAAATAAAATGATATTTCATATACACAATTTTGGGGGAAAAAAAGAATAAATAGTCGATGATGAAATTCCAGGCCTGAGGAGATGTCAATGGGCAGCAGGGTAAGTCAGAAGAGACGGTCAGCTCCTAATGCTCCCTGCCCCAAGATAGCCTGATAGGTGCATGCCCATCTTAGGCACAGCATAGGACCTTCCCTAATGACCAGACTCCAGAGGCAAAGAAATGGGTCACCAGGGCTTCCCCTTCCTTGTCCACAGGACATCCCTGAAAGCCACTCAGAAATGGGTGCTACCCAGCCACCTTGCCTGTGATCCATCCAGGTCAGCTGAAGAGGCTGTTGGAGGGATGCTAGAGGGAAGCCCAGGGTCCTGCATGGGGTCTGGCATGTAGCAGTGTTGAACATGGAGAAGGAAGGGCAAGCTGAGGCAGATACCTTCCACCAGATGTTCAGGAGGCACAGACTCTCCCTGACCAAGCCACTCTTGGGGGCTGCGGTTGGGCCGGCCTGCCCACTGGCTTGTCCACAATGCCTTCCTTCTTGGTGCTCCAGCCTGAGCCTTTCTCTGGGAACACCTGGACCTGTGGCAGGGGGAGGCCTACTTGCAAAGGAGGGTCGCATTATCAGACATGCAGGCTATCTTTTGCTTATTCTGCATCTGAGAATGGACCAGCTAGGAACAAGTTCTGGTACAAGTCTCCGACCAGCCTCCGCACACCAGAGAGAGGGCAGGCAGCAAGAGAAGCCAGAGGCCTAGGCCAATCCACCTTAATCCTCACCTGCTGCATCACAGAGCCCTGTCCTCCCCTTCCTGCCAAAAACACAAACAAACAAAAAAAACAACAAAAAACAAACAGAAAAACAAAACAAAAAACAGAAAGAAACAGAACAAGCTGTTTAGTAGTTAAGAACTGATTCCTGAAACCAGTTTGCTTCAAATCTTGGCTCTTCCACTTACTAGCTGCTAATAGCTATGTGACCTTGGCCAAGTGACTTAACCTTCTTGTGCCTCAGTTTCCTTATCTGTAAAATAGGGCTATTATCTGCCTCATTGTTGTTCCAAGAATTAAATGAATTGGTAAATTTAAAGTGCTTAGAATAGTGCCTTACTAATTGAGGAAGTATTACTCCAACATTAGCTATTACTGAGAAGTTCTTTCTCCTATCTGACCTCACTCAATCCTGCTGCATTTTTTGGGTCATTGTTTTTTGTTTCACCCTGATCAGGGACAAAGCCCAGCAGCTCATGACCCATTTTAGAACAGGTCACTTGGACCACCAGATGCCTGTGAAGCAGACTGTCTCTCTCTCTTTCCAGCTTATGGTATCTCAGTACATTTTTCCATAAGGAATTCAGCTATGAGCAGAGAAGAGGGGTTGGGGATGGGGCTGGAACCTTCTATGGGGATACTGGGAATTAGCAGGAGATGCAGAGGAGTAGAAACTGCCCTGGGAAAGTGGAATCTAAGGAGAAGGAGGATGGAACCAAGCTCCTGGGAAGCACACCCTGCATTTATCCCTTGCCTTTTATCTGTGGAACTCTGAGCACTTCTCTTATTGCTGGGGAGTCATCAGCCTGCTCCTAGGACACATGGCAATACTCAGACCTCCAGAGGCAGCCCAGGCCTCAGAAATCACCTCCACACAGACACTGCCACCACTACCAAACACACACACATTATGCAAAAGGAGAAAACACAGGTCACAGGGGCTATGGAGCTGCATCCAGACCCAGCTCTCCCAGCTCCCAGGTCTGGCATCTTTCTATTGTAGGACATGCAACTCCATGGGAGTCCTGCTGCTGAGAAGGAAACCCAGGTAGCTCAGTTTCTAGTTCCTATCACCTTGTCTGTGCATGGCACCAGGAAAGAGGATGAGGTTGGTCCGGGGAGGTGTGCAGGGCCGACCACCATCTTCTAGGCCCTGTCACATTTAAGGGTAAGCCTGGGGAAATCTGGAGAAATGTACCCCACCGCTGCAGAGTACACCCCTACCCCGTGCAGCTAAAGACACCTTCCCTACACCACCCTGTGGCCTCTGACAGCTGTCATAGCCACGTGCAGAGGTGACAAGGCAGGGCCTGTGTGGCCACCCACTGCTGCAAGTATCCAGGCCTCATAGAAGTCCAGCCCACTGGGTCTGCCCCCAGCTCCTGTTCAGGGCCCCAGTTTCGGTTCTGGCCCCAACTGTCTGGGGCAGACACAGGCACTGTGCCATCTGGCCAGCTGGAGGGGGAGCGGGTGGGGCCATGGCCAGCTGGGCTGCCCGGAGCAGGGAGAGGGGGGCTCGTTAAGACACACAATTAGCCGCCCTGCCTTTGATCTGGGACAGGGACTGCCAGCATCTAAGTGGAGTCAGCTGCTGCTACAGGCCACAGCAGCCAACGGCTGGGAAGGGGCTGGGGGAGGAGGTTTGGAGGGCAGGGGAGGGTGGAGGAGAGAGGATTCAGGAGCCAATGGAAACTAGAAGGGGTTAGAGAAGCTTGAGCCCTACCCATTCAAGTCAAAGAGGGAGGGAAGGGGAGAGGTCTGGTCTCCATTCTCTCCATGCAAATAATGTGCGCATTGCTCATGTGCCTGGGCAGAGAGAGAGAGACTAGTGTGCATGTGGGAACACTTAGGCGTGACACTGAATGGAGCCACACATATGTAAAAACAGGAGTAGGTGTTTGGTGTGTGCGCGCGCGCACATATGCATGTCAGTTTCATTTCTTGGCATGCTCTTCCATTGCACCAGCTCACCTCTCTGGGTACACAGTGGGACTTCATGTTGGCCTTGCAACTTGGGAGATAGTATAAAAGGGGATTGGGTGCAAACTTTAAAGTCAGCTGGCCTGCATTTGACTCCTAGCTCTATGGCTCACTTTCAAGCTGTGTGACTAACGGCAAGTTACCCAGCTTCTCTTAGCTTCATTTGTAAAATGATACTAATGATAGGACCTACAATATGGGGACTGTTTGGGGGTCCTAAAGCACGGATAAAATGTGGTTGAGCGGTGCCCATACAGCAGGTGCTTAGTATATGTTGGCTAATTAATTGGGTATCATTAGAATAATAGAACCTTAAGTGATCCTGGGATATGAGTGCCCATGCCTTGGTTTCCCCATCTGAGCACCACCCCAATCCCTGGAGGCCTAGGCATAAAACCAAGAGGATAAATGTAAAAAGGAGGTGGGAGAAAAATGAGCCAGGGCCATGGAGAGCAGAGCCTGGAAACCCACGCTGCTGGCTTCCCCTGGGCTGGGAGCATGGCTTCAGGGCCTCATGCCCTCTCTTTCCATCCGTTCCAAATGGGTCTGGGCCTTAGGGAAGACAGTACCTAAACTGTGTGAGAGCTCCCAGGGCCTGCTGTGTGAATCTACTACATTTCCCTCCATCAAACCTCTCCCTGACCTCTCCTCCCCTCTCCCTCCAGTGCTGAGCCCAGCTCCCAGCTGCCCCCTCCTCAAATTTCCTCCAGTCCTCGTGTCCACAGTGAGGGAAGGGGTTCTCTGTTCCTCACAATGATCCACTCCCCTCTACCAGATGTTCTGCCCAGTACCCAGCCCAGGAACCAACCATCTAGATTCTTAGCACGAAAAGCTAGGGCTACCAGTGCCATTGGCACTAAGGTCATTGCTGCTCCTGAACTAGGTGAAGCAGCCAGCATGGACTTGGGGCCCTCCCACAGCTTTTTCTGACCCTCTCTCTTCCTACCGGAGGCCCCTGTCCCTGTCCCCCGTGGCCTAGGCTCCAGCACACCTTCATCCCCTCTGCTTGGCTGGGCAAAGCCCTATTGCATGCCTCGCCTTCCCAGGTTTGTCCACTTCACATGCTCAAGCCCTCTTCCCCCTCCCTCTATCAAAACTCCATCCCTCCAGCCCAGCTCATCTCAGGGAAGATGTCAGGACAATTCAATGATAGTAACAGCATTAAAGAAGGCCCAAGGGACCCAGGACCCCAACCCAAGCAGTGTCTGAAGTTTAAACATGGCAGAATCCACATTTAACAGGATCCTAACCCATTGATAACATGGGTCAGAAAAGGCATCAGCACCCAGACATTCCACTTGGAGGAAACGGAGGTCACCTGACCCACACAATGGGCAATGTGTAACTTGGAAAGAAAGGAGATTCCTGGTGGAAGGAAGTAGACCAGGGGCTGGTTGACACCGTGGGTGGCTTCATGGGATTCCAATTTAGCTAGTCCTCCAGAAGATGGGCCAAGATGGACTGAGAAATGACTGCCCCCAGGAGGATGAACCTGCAGGTGGAGTCAGGGGTGCAGTGGTGACCAGTGGAGGAGAGGATTGGCAGATTTATTTCCAGAAGCCCAGAGTCCCTTCTGAGAAGCAAGAGGTAGAAATGAGGTGTGAGGTGTAGCAATGAGGGGCGTTGATGGGGAGCTGGGGAGCGGAAACCACAGAGGTAGGCCAGTGTCCTGAGGCCCAGGGAAAGTGCCCAGCCCCGCTACTGTGGCTGGAGCCGGGCAGCCACTGTCCCACTCCCTCCCCATGCTGAGCACCTCCCTGCCCTGGCTAGCCCCGGCAAGTCGTCCCTCTCCAGCCCTAACCTCCTCCCTCCACCCGTCCCCCCAGCTCACCTCGCGCTTATTAAACTGCAGGTGAACCCGGGAGCGCCTGGCACCCAGCCAGCCCTGCGCTGTTCTGCCGCTCTGAACTCTCCCCCAGGCTTCAAAGACCCCAAGGTCCTCCAGCAGGCCGCGCGGGCCTGACCCAGCGAGGCTCTCAGGGCACCTGGGTTCACTGGGTCTAGAGGGAACAGGAGGACAGAGGGGATACCAAGGCCGAGGAGAGGGATGCAGAGCTTGCCTTGCCTCACCCGAAGCTGCAGAAGTTAGAACCTCCGCGCCTACCCCGGTCCCCAGCGGGCAGAAACCAAAGCCAGGGCTACGGAGTCCTCATGGGGTACCCGAGGGCCCCGGAGGGAAACGCGGCTGCGGAGAGCGCGGGCGACCTAGAAACCAGAGGGTAGGAACGGGCGCGCGGCGGCTGTGAGCGCCGGCCCAGCCCAGCCGGGGCATGAATGGTGCCGAGGCCAGTCACTTCGTGTCGGCGCGCGGGCGGCGGGACAGGAGGAGAGTGCGGCCCGAGCTGGGCAGGACCCGGGGGTCCCGGGCAGCCGCTCCTGGACGGCTGGAGGGGCGGGAGGGGGCGGGAGCGCGGGGCAGGGCGGGGGGCGCCCTCTGAGAGCGGCGCGGCTGGGGCCGGGAGCCGTCTGCCGCGGCCCGCGGGGATTAGTTCGCGGCTGCATGCCGCCACACGCGTCGGGCTGGGCTCGGCCGGGTAGAAACAGCGCCCGGGGCGCGCGGGGGAGGGAGGAGGGAGCGCGCGGGGGCGGGGCGGGGCGGGGCGGGGCGGGGCGGGCGGCCTGGGGCTCGGCTGGTGGAGGCTGGGGTGGCCCCTGACTTGGGGGCCCAGGGGATGCAAGCAGGGGCCCTGATGAAAAGGGAAGGGCCTCGGCTTTCTGAGTTTTCCGAATTTGAGGTACAGCCTGACTCCCCAAGAAGCCTCAAGACCCAAGGCTACAAGGTGTATGCGTACCTCTCCTACTCCACCTCCACTGAAAATTGGACAAGACCTAAGAAGCTAGGGCTAAGGGGTGCCCACAATGTCCCACACAAGCCACTGAGAGGGGAGATAGATACCCAGCTAGGCCCATCCCAGAGGCAGGGCCCCCATCCTTCCCAAAAGATCTGAGTAAAGGCCTGAGATACCAGGCCAGGAGGTGGGTGCGAGGCAGAAGTGAGTGACAAAACCTCCTGCCGTCCCCAGCCCAAGCCACTCTGGTATTGTCAGGGTGGGTCACCCAGAAGTCGGGGAGGGAGGACAGGGAATGGGCTGCGGCTCCTCTGAGCTGTGAGGGGAAGAGGAGTTGACAGGCCTACCAGGCCTGCTGGCAGGAGCCACTACACACAGGCACACACACACCCAGCACCTCTGATTCAGAGAGGGTTTTCCAGAGGCAGCAGGGATGACACACAGGCTGGTGGTGTCCCCCGCCGGGAAGAGCTTCTGCAGTAGGGCAGACTTTTTACCTGTCCAGGCTGCCTCCACCTGCACCATTGGAAAAATTCCTCAACCCCTCCTCATGCTGATTCTGGGTTCTTCCTCATGGGCTCCCCATCCTAAATGTGGTTTTCTAAGTAGAGGGTAAGTAGAGGCAAGCGACAAGTACAGATATTTCCTGGGTTTGAGATATGCAGTGTCAGTAATAGGGCAGGATGACCCAGGAGTCTAGTTCTCAGGCATGGAACCTGCCACTCTCAGCCTAAACAGCCCAGTCTGGAGACAAATTTGCCCCATTTCTCTGTCCCCATGGCCTGAGACCAGGAAGAGGAAGGAAAGCAGCACGGCCAGCAGATGGGCATGTGGGGATGGGAGGATGCCAGCTTGAGGCAGTGGGTTAGAAAAGGCTGGGAATAGATTCTGAGGTGGAGATGCTGGATGGGGCAGGCAGGGGCAGGGGTGAGGGGTGAGGGGCAGGGGTGAGGGGCAGCTACCTCTGCTGAAGATGGGACTTTCATAGGGGATCTTGTTGCGAGTCTCCAGGCTTGAGCAGTTCCAGCGCTGGTCCCTGAATTGGTGTTGGCATTCGTGGATAGCGATCTGGATGCCCTGTATGGCTGAGGCAGCCACATCAGGGTGACGCACACACACCTCCATCTGCCGCCGGCTCAGGCCTGGCAATGTTAGGCACACTGTGTTGGCATTGAGCACAGGCTCCGGGGGGAGGCGGAGGTCCAGAATGTCATTGGGTGCTGACCTGCAGACATGTGGGGTGGAGTGGGTACGTGTTTTGGGGGGACCAGGAGAGCCCCATCTAACAACACACACTCTGTCCCAAAGGCCATAATCACTCCCTCTTCCAACCTCTGCTTCTGAAGGTTGGGCCCATCAGTACACTCCTCCACATTCCTGTTTCCTTGACCTCCTCACAATCATCCTGCTCAATGCGACTCACTCAGCTAGCTGCACACCCACACAGGTAAACGTGCAAATGCACACACATCCACCATGCTGTGGCCACAGTATTTCCTATGCACATTCCCAGGCATAGATGCCCATACACACAGGGTTCCCCAGGAGCCCACTCCCACAGATATGTTTCAGTCACATTCACACAGACACACCTCTGCACACATTGTGGTAGACACACAAACCCAACCCCAGCACACTTACACACATGCACACTTGATCATAGTTACAAACACACACACAAAGACACTCCCATTTACACATGTGTTCATCTTAACATACATTGACCCATGAGCTTTCACATGCACACATGGGCACATACAGAAACTGCTGTTTACCAACACAGTTTGCTGGGATCCTGGGCTCGATTGAAAACGCACACACACACACACACACACACACACACACACAGCTCTTGCAGCTGCAGTCTCTCACTGATCCCACCTGGGCTACCCTCTTCCAGCCTTCCAACCCCTGCCGCTACCTGGGGCTGAGCTGCAGGAAGGAGTGAGGCAGCTTGGGCTTACTCCTGGGGTGGGGGTGCATTCCCCCCACAGGACAGGAACTCCAGACTGGCACTTGCTCCCCCACACACACACCTCCCCTCCTAGTTGCCATCATACTCCTGGGCACTGCCTTGTCTCCCTGGACTGCCCATATCCTGTCACCAGTCCAACCCCCTCCTATGAGGGAGCTCACTGCCTTTGGTTGGGCACTAGCACTTGCCTATGACCCTGTCCCTCCCTTCTTCCAGGGTCCTCTACCCCAGCAAGAGCATCAGAGGCCCCTGTGGGGGGCCCGGGGTCTCAACTCTCTAGGAGGGCGGAGCATGAGGTGAGGGCTCACCTGGGCATGGCAGCAGCCAGCAGCAGTAGGAAGAACAGGAGCACCCAGAGCGCTGGCCGCGGCTGGGGCTGGGGTCGGAGCCGAAGCCAGGGGCGAGGGTGGGCGCTGCCCATGGCGCGCAGGCCCTGACGGGCTGGGAATGGGGGGCTCACAGCCCGGTGGGACTGGAGAGCCAGGGGCGCCGGCGCATGATCGGCGGGGGGTCGGGGCGGCTGCGACACACAACTCCGACTCGGGTCAGGGCTCCCGGAGCAGACGGCGCCCGCCTCCCCGCTCCATGGGGCAGCACCCCCGGGCACCGCCCTCGGGGGGGGCGGGGGGTGAAGAGCGGGCGAACCGGGCACCTCCTGGCACAGGGGTCCGGGGAATTTCCCGAGGCCCCCCCGCGACAACTCCTGGTGCCTCTCAAGGGTAAGGGGGGCCTGGAGGTGCAGCGGGCTGGGGACGGGAGGCTGGGGTGCCGGGGAGCCCTCCAGCGCAGCGCCGGGAGCCTGCGCTTCCGAGGGCGTGCGAGGCGGGCTGGCAGGGGCGGCGCGGTCTGTGTCGGGCCCCACTGCCTGGAGAGTAAGTGACTGTCCCGGCTCGGGGAGCTCTGCCGCCTTCCCTTTCCTCCCCCCACCCCACCATTTAGTGTCTCAGGGCTCTACCCCACGTGACGTCACGCGGCGGGGCGTGGAGGCGTGTACGATTCCCGAGGCCACTGCGTCCGCTGGGGACTGGGGGTGGGAGCGTCCCTGCTGAGGGCAGGAAAGGGAAAGGTGTTGGGGTCTGTGCGCGCGTGCACAGGAAGAAGCCTGTGCGTGGAGCGCGCTGGGTTGTGTGGGGGATATGTGTTACCGCGAGGTGTGTGTGCCTGGCTGAGACGCAGCTGCTGGGGAGCGCCCCCACCCCACCCCAACACACACACCTGCAGGGGCTGGCGGAGAGGGGCCGGCCTCTCTGTTTCGCCTCCCCGACCAGAGGAGGGACTTCCCCCAGGCCTGCCTGGTGTTAGGCAGGTGTGGGCTCCTGCAGAGGAGTTTGGCAGCCTCTGGCTTCTACTCTCCTTTGCTGTGTGACCTTAAACAGGTGCCTCCTGCTCCTGCTCACGGAGACACCCCTGCCCCTTTGTGAAATGCGGCTCATAGGAACCACCTCGTCTCCTCAGTGAGCCCGGGGAGGCAGCAGTGTCAGGCCCCCAGTAAATGCTTGCGTAGGAGCGCCCTGGGTGGCACGCCCTGGGAGGAGGCGTTGGAGAGCCTTTTAACCCTAGAAGTGGCCCTTGAGATAGTTTACTTAGCTCCCCTTTATTTCACAAGAAAATATCGAGGCTCAAAGAGATCACACAGCAAATTAGCGGAAGAACTAGCACTGAACGCAGCTCTCCTGACTCCCAGCGCAGCAGCTGCCGCCCCAACACTGAGTGTTGCCTGCCTGCGCCCGCAGATACTCTGTCTTGTCCTGGCCCTCCCTGGCCCCACCTGCACATGGTCCTCTAGGAGCTCCCTAATACCAGCCTCCTGGCTCAGGTCTACTTCTCGCTGAGATATCTTCCTGTCCCTCCACCCCAACTGAACACTGGGCCCCTCCTCGATATAGGGCAAGTGTGCTGGGCCCAAGCAAGGGCCTGAGAGCCAGAAGGTAGGGGAAAGGCAGCTCTGCCTTCTGTTTCTGCTGCTAGCCTGGGCCTTAATAGTGGATCCTGCTCCTGCCCTGTGTCCTCGGCATCCTCCTCTGTAAAATGGGCACAAGCCTCCCACACTTTACACACACGCCCCTCTCTCTGAAGAGAGCCCCTGCTGGCTTAGGGACAAAACTATGGGAGCCTCTGGGCTCAGAGACAAAAAAGTGCCCATTCCTGGAATTGCCCATCCCTGGGGAATTGAAGGGGGGGGTGGGGCCCTCCTTGTCCCCAGACTGTCAGGTGGTGGGGGCAGCCTGAGCAACAGCAGGCTGACGGCATACTCCCCCCTCCTTTCCCCCTCATCTCTGCCGGCAGCCACCGCAGCTGTCAGGAATTAAGGGCTTGAGGCTGCTGGGGGTGGGGGTGGGGCAGTGCGGGGTGGGGAGCAGTCTGGCTGGACTGCAGGAAAACAGCCAGGGGCAGCAAGCAGACTGCGTCAGCCAGAGCCTTATTTGACCCCAACTGCCCCCTGCCCTCCCCACTCTCCCCACCATGCTGCAGAAACGGGGACAGCTTGGGACTAGCATTTGGGAAGGGTAAGCGGTAAGGGTAGGGGTGGGACCAGACTCAACACAGGAAGCAGGCACCAGCCCAGGATGGGAGAAGACACCAGCAAGCTGGAGAGTCATGTTCTCACTGGCTGTTGGGGATACTGAGGCCCAGAAAGAATTAAGAACATGACACAGGGAAGGGATTCTTAATCAGCTTGCAGATGTCCTTATTCTCCATCCTCCACTCACACTAGCATTTCCCACGCTTGATGCAGCACAAGTATCCCCTGGGGTGGGCCATTGCGGGAATGCAGATTCCAGGCCCCATGCAGTTGAATCAGCCTTTCCAGGGAAAGGCCTGGGGGTCTGTCTTTCTAGCTAGCATCCCCAGTGATTCTGGTGGGGACTCCTTTTGGGAAATGCTGCTGACCTGGTTGAGGAGCTGATTTAGTTTCCTTTGGCATCTCTCTGATGAGGGGGGTCTCTTTGCTCCCCCACCTCCACTGTCTGTGAAATACAGAGATGCAAAGGAGACAGAGAAGACCTTTTCTTAAAAAAAAACAACTCAGGAGGCAAACAGTGATTCCTGAGGCTTGCACTCAGGCGTGGCTCTGCCCTGGTGTCAGGAGGGTCTAGGAGTACCCAAGTCAGAGCACTTCTCAGTGAAGGGAGGGGAGGGTCTGTGTCAGTCCAGAGCCTTGGCAAGTATGTAGGTGAGGCCCAGAGAATGTCTGCAGCTGGGGTTCCAGCCCCATATGACCCACACCATGGCCAAGCCCCTATCGGCACCCCCTAGTCCCCACCCTGGCCCTGCCCTGGGCCCTGGCCCTCAGCCCAGCCCCAGCCCCCGCAGCCGCCGCCTAAGACCACAATTACAGGGGCCACTGGGGGGCGGGGGAGCACTGGGGATGAAAGGCAGCTTGGAGAATGGTTCCAGCTGTGGCAGCTCTGGAGAAGGTCACAGGGAGGAAGGGCCGGGGAAGCATGGGGGTGAGAACAGGTGGGACCCTCACAACCCGAGCCTAGACCAGTCCAGCCCCAGCCCAGTCCTGGTGCCCAGCTGGAGAAGTTTGTCTTGGGGTAGAAGAAAGCCAAGGAGCCACAGACCAATAGGGGGGCTCTTCATTCCGTTGTCCAGGCCTTAGGGGCCACCAACCCTCAGCAAGGTAAGGGGGAATGGCTTGTTGCTCCAGTCTCCCCAAACTCCTAATGTATTTGGTCATTGAAAGAGAAGGGAAATGTTCCCCGAGCCCGTGGTCTCAGGCTGATCCTAGGCCTTCCACTCGGCCTCCTCACCCATCTGCCTGTGTTCTGCCTGTTCCTGATGTGGTCACACGCACATCTGGGGTGCCTCTGTGCACTTCCCCCATCTCCCCAGTTCCACATGTCCCCTGCCACTCAGCCAGCAGGGGACTTTGATGGCTCAGACTGCCTGGGGCTGAGCAGCTGGATGAGCAGGGGTGGGTGGTGGTGGGAGCTCTACTTCCGGCCCCTTCCCAGGCAGCAAGGAGAGAGCACAGATCTATCTCAGGGCTCAAAGAAGATGAGGCTAGAAGTCCCAATGGTGCCTCCCAGGTCATCATTCCCAATCTTCATAGAAGGCAGTGCCCAGACGCCTTCAGGGCTTGGTCACAGAAGATGGACTAGTAACATGTGACCAGCAGTTTAAAGATGGAAGTGCATTCTCCCAATGTGCTAAAAAGCAATCAGGGACCCCTATTAGGTGATAGGAAGTGCTCAGAAAGGTTAACTGATTGACCAAGGTCAAGCTAGCAAACGAGGCATTTTTCATTGTATCATACTACTTCCTCTGAATTCCTTTTAACCTGCCTAGGGTGGTGCCAGTTCATGCCACTTTCCCAGCTTCCCTCTCTGGCATTGTGGAGGAAGATGTCCAGCATCATCCACCCTATCTCACCCCCTGCAGGACCCAGCAGTGGTAGAGACCGGAAGGCTGGCATCCCAGCCCTAGGTCTGGGCCTGCCCAGACGTCTCAGACAGTCTGGAACCCTAGAAGCTTGACCCAAGCTGTTTGTAGGTCCTTGCTTCCTTTCAGTCCTATCCTCTCCTGCCCGCCACTCCCTTGAGTTTCCCAGATGTCCTGCAGGTCCTGTCTCTCTGTGTTAATAGAGAAGCTGGGCTCCGCATGCCCCCTGGTGGTCTCTGAGAGAAGTGCAGGAGTTTGGGTTTTGGGGTTTTTTTTTTGTTTGAAGATAAGAGCAGAGCTTTGGGGAAGGCAGATCTTATAAACCTTGCCCTCAGGGAGCTTCATTTATCCTCTGTGTGGACCATAATGTATTTCCACTGTCTCCTTTGGTAAGTTAACAGAGTTTCCTTTGGTCAAGGAGTTCTAAGTCCAAATTCTCCATGACTTCTCTGAAGCCCAGACATTTGACCCAAGGGAGCCAAGAAGAGGCAGAAAGGAAAACCCTGGTGCCTCAACCTTCCCACTGCAGCCTGACACCCCTCCCCACCATGAGCCTTGAGGGTTGAAGCAGGCTAGGTCACCAAGTGAATGCAGGGACACTGCGGGGGAAGGACAGGGGTCCTGGAAGCCACGGTCTGTCACATCCAGAATAAGCTCCCTTTCCTTCTGTTTTATTTGAAGAACTGTGCTTTGCTCCCGGTGCCCACCCCGCCCCCCTGTGGTTCTAGAGAGGCTGTCAATTGCAGGCATCTCCCTAGACATCATCTCCCTGGACACCATTATTGGTTCAGGAATAGGCAAATGACCAAGCTGAACAGAAGTCCTTGGGACTTCTGTTGGAGACAACTGGGAAGGTCATTCTTCCTTTTTTTGGATCTAAGACTGCATATAGAGCTGTCATGGAGAAAGTCTGCAGGAGGAGACAATGAGGACAGTATGCCAAGAGAGGCAGAGATAAGCAGAAACAATAGATGCAGAGGTGAGGGAGAGGGAAGGAGATGAGAAAGAAGCCTGTGACACCATGTGAGCCCCTGGGTTCAGTTGTACCTGAATTCAAACTAATCTCTGGACTTCCCTGGTATAAGAGCCATTCATTAATTCTGTTTGGCCTCAGCTAAAAGTCAGGTACCTTCATTTGCAATCAGGGCCTGCCCAATATCTGCAAAGCATCATATGTCTATCCCCATTCTCACAGTAACTATCATTTATTAAACATATGTTTGACAAATTATGTATCATGAGCTATGCTACAGTCTTTCATATCTCAAAAAAAAAATTATCCCAACAATCCTGCGAGGGTGTGGGACAGATTATGATGGCTGCAAATTCTTTGCCACTCCTCCCATTGAGAGGTGGAATTAATTTTCCCTCCTTTTGAATTTTGCCTGGCTCTGTGACCTGTTTTGACCAATACAGAGTTACAGTGATGCTATGTAACTTCCAAAGCTGGACTTAAGAGACTTACAGCTTCTGCCTTCAAGTTTGGTACACTCTCTTTTAAAAGCCAGTCTTGGCCGGGCGCGGTGGCTCACATCTGTAATCCCAGCACTTTGAGAGGCTGAGGCGGGCAGATCACAAGGTCAGGAGATCAAGACCATCTTGGCTAACACAGTGAAACCCCATCTCTACTAAAAATACAAAAAACTTAGCCAGGTGTGGTGGCGGGCGCCTGTAGTCCCAGCTACTTGGGAGGCTGAGGCAGGAGAATGGCATGAATCCAGGAGGCGGAGCTTGCAATGAGCCGAGATCCTGCCACTGCACTCCAACCTGGGGGATAGAGTGAGACTCCGTCTCAAAAAAAAAAAAAAGTCAGTCTTATGTAAGAAGTCTGACTATCCTAAGGCTAACATGCAACAAGGAAGCCCAAGTTAGCCACATGGAGAGAATGAGAGCACAAGAGAAGCTCTGTGTCCTAGACATGTGAGTGGGTGCTTCTTGGACTGTCCAGCACAGCACAGCCAATACTGCAGCAGAATGCAGCCATGTGAACCCAGGCCAATGGTTCTGCTGCATAGAGCGGACTTACCGAGCTGAGTTCTGACAAATCATGACCTCAAAAATCCTGAGAAGTAATTACTTTGGGGTTGTTTGTTATGTAGCAATGGATAACTGAAACAGAGCGAAATCCCTTTGTATAAAGAAAATGAGGCTAACTTGGCCTATGTTGTAAAGTTCTAAGCAGCAGCACCAACTGCAAACCCAGAGTGTCTGACCCCAAAGCTCATTTTTTTTTTTGTCTTCCATACCTTCATGGGGGAATCATTCCCCATTGCAGTATTTGGACTGGAGGAAAGTTGGAGGCTCTGAGTCCTGGAAGTTGGGCTATGCCCTCCCTCTTTCTCTCTGGAGGAAGATGAGAGCTCAAGCTTCAGCTCTGGAGAATCCAGAACTGCTCTCTGTCTCCTCACTTTCACCATCAGCTTCCCAAGAGGAACCAGAAGGAAGGAAATATTACTGGGTGCCAAGAGAAATGTTGGGACAAACTTGCTTCCTCTCCCTCTAAGTGTGATTAGAAATGCTGTTCTGGGCAGTCTTTTCAATGTGAATGGGGGTGAAGTTAGTTTTGATGGTAACAAAACCTGGTGGAGCTAATAACATGTGTTCATCACATTCTACAGTTTATAAAGTGCTTTAATCCCATGGGCTTAGGTATCCCCAAAAGTTTACCCAGAAATTCCCCAGGAGTCACAGAAACAGACACAATCCCCTAAAAGTTAAGACAAGGACGAGTTTGAGAGCTGAGCATACCATCGGAAGCTTCTGATGCCCCTGTCCCTTTAAAGAGGAATTGCTAGTTCTTCTCCGGCTTGCAGATCCAGGCCCTAGATGTGTGACAGGAGTGAACAAGAAGAATACCAAGGGGGGATAGTGAGTTTCCAGGAGAGGCCAACCTGGTCGGGAGACAGGGACCCAGGTGATGGCCCCTAAGGTGCTAGTTCTAGCAAAACTACCTTCTTCTGGAGCCTGGCAGCCTGAAGATGGGTCTCCCCGCAAACTGTGGGTCCAGCCCTAGTGGTTTAAATATCTTTATTGATACTAACCTCACCCACCATCCCGTGGCCAGCAGTTCTGGGGAGCCCAGTATCCAGAGGCCTTTAGACTGACTTGTTGGTTTCCTCCTAGAGGCCAAGGGGAGGGAGGGCCTGTACAGTGTCCTTTAAACGCTCCCGGAGCGCCTTTTCGGGGCCGTCCGGCGCCCTGGGCCTTCGTAGGTGGGTGTTCTCTCAAGTCCGTCGCCTCACCATTTCCAGAGGCATGGGAGTTGGGCTTTGGCAGGGAGAGGCTGGGCTCGAGCGGCGCCCGGTGCCGGTGCCCTGAGGTCCCGGAGGTGCGAGCCACCGCTGCGCGAAGTCAGTCTAGGTGCCGGGCGGCGGGTCAGAGGCAGAGGCTGAGCTCCTTGCGCACACGGCAGCGGTGGCACTGCACTACGCAGCACCAGTGGAAACGGCACAGGCAGTTCTCTTCGAGCTGCACGCTCTCCTGGCGGTGCCCGCGGCCGCAACACAGCAGGTCGCAGCCACTGAGGTCCGGGGCGCTGCTATTGCAGGCGCGGCCGCGCGTGCCGGGGGAGCCGGTGCGTCGGTTGGGGGCGCAGAAGTCGGGCGAATCAGCGGCGTAGAGGAGGTCCGCTCGGCCCGGCGGCTTGAGCGTGCGGACGGCGGGCAGTAGGGCCTTGCCGTCGTTAGTGCCCATGACGCGTGAGGCGCCGTGGAAGCGCTCCAGCAGCCGCGCGCCCACTTCGCGAAACGGAGGCAGCTTCTGCCAGCAGGTTCGCAGCGCGCACGAGCCCGACAGCCCGTGGCATTTGCACTCGGTGCGAGTGTGGCTCCGTACGGCCTGCGGGAAGCAGAGGGGCGGACGCATGTGGACAGATGGGGGTGCAGGGAAGGGCCCAGTGGATGGACAGAAAATAAGATTGGGAACGGGAAGTGAAAGGAAGAGGAAAATGCAGACAAAAGAAGACCGCAAGTTCAGGAGGAGGAAATCAAGGAAAGGACAGCTCGGAAGGGAGGAGCAGGAGGAATGGTGAGGATGGAGTAGTATGATGATGACGAAGCAGGGAGACGGGGGACAATATGCAGCGCAGAGATTCCAGGGTCCAAAGCCAGGGGGTGGGGGAGAAAGCAGAATGGACAGCAGGGATGAGATTCTCTCTGGAGGAGGGGGGAGGTGGCAGCTGTGGAGGCCTAGCCCCCTGCCAACCTGGCCCCCTCATTCCTACCCCTCACAGCCCCAGGCGGGGCTGAACAGAGATGCAGAGCCAGCCGCCTGGGCGTCTGTCTCCGCCATCCCGCCCCAGCCCTCTCGGCAGGTATGTGGGCCTGTCCGGACATTCCTCTTCGGGCCCCCTCCTCTCCCTGCCCGATGCCTCAGGCCCGAACCCTAGAGGACACGGTATGTATGGCGGTGTCCCTGGAGAACCCTAGAACTGAGGCATAGGGTGCAGGAGGGCCGGCTGGGAATGCAGTACTGAGAGTGGAACCCAGGCGGCCTCTCCCCTATTCACTGTTTGAAGCAGGGTCTAAGATTTTCCAACCCCACCAAGGATTGATGGCCCAAGAAAATCATTTTTGGAAGCTCAGAATCCAGGGGCTAACCTGACCTTTTGTCCACAGCCTGAGTCTACCCTACCCCCTCCTGGAACCATCACACCCAGACAACCTTCTTGCTCCTGAAGGAGAGCTCCTGGGGCTCTCCTCAATACAGAGGGGAGAGGAGAGGCTGCCATAGCTCTGGGCAGGTGAGACCTGGGTTGGGGTTGCTGGGCAGCCAGTTGGCAAGTGCCCAGAATTGGTCACAGCTGTCCTGGCCTCCACCTGACTCCCTCCAACCTCCACCAGGATTGGTTCCCTGTCCTTCGCTCTTTTCCATTGCCCCTCAGACATGTTCAAACTCTTTCTAGGCCTCTCTCACTCCCCCTGACTTCCCTCTACCCAGTCCCCAGACCTTGCCCTAGCTTCTATCCTGTCTTTCATCCCCACCTTTGTTTTATTCCTCTGCCCCTGCCCAGGCATCCAGACCCCCTACCCACTGCAAGCTTTGCTTCACCTGTCCTGTCTTGAAGCTGTGCCCTCTCTACCTGGGGTCACTAAAGACCCTCAGTCCTATTCCCTGAGTATCCCTTCCCCATTCTGCCCACTGTACCGCCCAGCATCTGGCCTTCTCAGACCCCCAAGTGACTCCTTCTTGAGGTTGGACACCCCTCCTCCCACATGTCCATCCATGCTTGCAGCCCGTCTTTCCGCACATGCCCACTCCCCCACACATTAACGCCCCCTCCACCTACACGCCCTCACTCCTGCCCACACTTTCTCAAGCACGCTCCTGCGGGCACACTCACATTTCCGCACACACTCACTCCGTCGTGCCCCTACGCACCAGCCGGCCCGCCTCGTTGTTGTGCAGTTGCACCAACGCGCGGATGTCTCCGCGTCCCCGCTTGTGCCGCGCGTCCATAAAGAGCCTCGACTTCTCGTCCCCGAAGTCCACGTCGTCGCCGCAGCCTCCCCACTCCCAGGCGGAGCTGCCTTCCGGGGAGCCCGCGGGGCCAGGGGGTCCGGGGGTGCCGGGCAGGCCGGAGGGCCGGGGAGGGGCCCGCCCGCGGGGCGCCTGGCAGCCGCACTGCAGCAGCTCGCCCATGGAACAGGCCTGCGTGACGGCGTGGCTGGCGCCCGCCGCGGTGATGGCAAACACGAAGGCTGTCTCTCGAATGTCTGCGAATGCAGAGGTGCAATCAGCACGGGTTGGGGCGGTCAGCTGGGGCCTGGGACCTGAAACCTGGGACCAGGGGCCTGGGAGGCAGGGTCCTTGCAGAGTGCCCAGATACATGCGACGGGGAAGTGGGGCTCAGGCAACTTCAGCGAACCAGCTCCCCACTCCTCGGGTCCCCCAGCCTGGAGAAAGCAGCCCCACTTCCGCCCCCTCCCCACACTGACCCTGCTGCAGGATGCGTCCAAAGGCCTTGCTGTGGCTGGAGCAGTTCCAGCGGCGGAAGCGGAACTGGAACTGGCACTCTCGCACCCCGAGCCGGGCGCCCCGGGCTAGCTCTGCCACTACTTCCGGCTCAGCCTGGCACAACTCGGCCTGCCTCCCGGCCAGCCGCCGTGCCTTCCTGCAGATGCTGATAGGGTCCATAACCAAGGGGCTGCCCACAGCCCTGGAAAGCAGATAATAGCAAGTCAGGGGTATAACCCTTATAAGGGCTTGGGGTGGAACGGAGGGAGACCAGCCCTACTTAGCCCCCAGCCGGGAGCTGAGACATGCCCTCCCACCCTACCCCCAAACTGCACTTGAGATTGTCCTGCCTGGCTCTCCTACTATTCCATGTCTGCGTCCCCTCTTAACTAGAGTCTATTCTGATAATTGCTACAGAGCAAAGATTCAATCTTATCTTCCTGCGCACATCTTTGTAAATAAATCCTTATAGAAACTTGACTGAAGGTGAAAGCAGCTGGCACCAGGTAAACCAAAGTTAAAACTCAAACGTGTAGCCCAAAAGGGTGACAAGGAAAAGAAATCACAGGAGAAAGATCAAGAAGGCTGTCAAGGGAAAGAAAGTATGTGTCATCAAGAGATACCAAAGAAAAGTAAGCAGTATCAAGGAATGATATGGTCCTAGTGGACCACAAGCTGGATATGTGTCAGCTGAACAGCCCGGATGAAAGGCAAGAACAATCCCAGGAAGAGAGAATGCCACAAGATGTCAGAATGGGTAGGGAATGGAGCCTTGCTGAGAAAAGTCACACCCCCTCCGTAGCCCAAGTTTCTCCTGTAAAATGGGTGTGTTGGGCTTTCATCTCTAAGGTGGGACCTCCTACCCTGATATCTTCTGTGTCCCTGAACTGGAGAGCAGGAGGAAGGAGCTGGGGGCCAGGTCTCTGAAGCATTGTTGGAAAGTAGGTGACACTGACCCTTCTCCTGCTCCAGGATCTGTGGCTTTTTTTTTTTTTTTTTTTTTTTAATTGAGACAGTCTCGCTCTGTCACCCAGGCTGGAGTGCGCTGGCGCGATCTCACCTTGCTGCAACCTGCACTGCCCAGGTTCAAGCAATTCTCATGTCTCAGCCTCCCAAATAGCTGGGACTAGAGGCGTGCACCACTGCGCTTGGCTAATTTTTTTGGACTTTTAGTAGAGACAAGGTTTCACCATGTTGGCCAGGCCAGTCTCAAACTCCTGACTTCAGGTGATCTGCCTGTTTTGCCCTCCCAAAGTGCTGGGATTACAGGCATGAGCCACCACACACGGCCAAGGATCTGTTGCCTTCTCTGAGCAGAATGGCAGTGAACCAAGCCCTACCTATTGGGGTGACATCACTGCTGGGGGGCAGGCAATGTTTGGCTTGGTAGGGGAAGACTCCATGGGAAGTTTCATGCACTTCCAGAAATCCCTCCACTCCTGACATTCATTGTGCCTGAGGAGAGAGCTGACATTTCGTTTCTGTACAGCAGACCCCTGAAGGTTAATTCTGTAGGGATTCACACCTGGGGAACCACTTTCATCAGCTTGCTCCTATTTGAACACTTAGCTGGGATCCCCATCTCAAAGGAATGAGTAGAGCGTTTGGGAACAGAGGGTAATTAGAGACCACCCAAAAGTTCTTCAGCAGAGGGCAGAAAAAAAAACTGGGTGGGGGTAGGGGTCCCAGGAGATAGAAAATATAGAGAATGCTGGTAGGTGGTGCCAGAGGTCAAGGTGGCCTACTTTTCAGTGTTGCTTTAGTGCATATCCGCCCCACTGTCCCCATTTGCTCCACAAGTACAGGCTGCCCAGGCATGTTCTGGCTCCACAACAATGAAATGTGATGGTCTTAAATAGAAGCAAGAGGAATTTAGGTCTTAAGGTAGAACTCTCAACACTAAGGACAGAAGTGCTTGAAGAGGTGGTGCAGGAAGATGTGTAATAAGCTCAGTCCTTTACGGTCTACAACACAAACACGTGTGTGTGCGCATGCATTCTCATGGCGCGCGCACACACTCACACACACACACAAAATCAGGTTGCTGCTGTCATCCTTACCCAAGTAGCTCAGGAACCAGATGTCTCTCAATGGAGAGGCTACAGTCCACATCTTCCTTCCTGTGTACTTAAGACCAGCCCAGCACTGGCCCCCACCCTTTCCCAGCCTAGATAAGTAAAGCAATGGAGGGTGGGTCAGGGCACCCCAGTGACCCAGTGACTTTTGAGAGTTGATTGGTCTCTATGGATCCATCAATCTATCTGTCCCTCCGCTGCCCATATATCCTACCTCATTATAAGAAGGATTGGAGGCAGCTTCCAACATGGCTGTGCAGGGTCAGGAGATAAGACTATGAGCTTTTTGAGCATTAGGACTGCCTTATTTTCCTTTGCATCTCCTGGAAGACTTAGGTACTTAGTTTATATCCTCCCCCAACCCCAATTTGTATTACAAATGAAATTGTATAGTATGAATTCTGTGCTATATGTGAATAATACCTGTAGTATATTATACAACAAACATCATTTAATATGTGGTTTTGAATGAATAAACAAGCCATCTAAGAGAAAGTTCTCACTTGAGCCCAGGCCCCTGTCCACATCTTATTTCATGACTCCTAGTTCATTTCCTCAAACATGCTCTTTTCCCCCACTGAGAGTCAGAGGCAGGGAATGAGTCCTCTCTGCAGTCATCCAGCTCCTTTTGTCTGGGGCTCCACCTGTGAGTCGGGGACTCTGCAAGCTCATCTTCCCCACCCCCGCTGCCCCTACTTCTAAGTTCCCCAGCCCCTCCTCCTCAACCCTGCCCTCTGCTAACTCCCTACTTTCTCAGGGTTGACTGGCTTTATCTTCCCAAGGTTACTCTACCCCATCCTTCTCCTCTCCCTCCTCCTCCCTTAAGAAGGCAGGAGGGAGTGGAGATGAGCAAGACAGAAAGACAAAAACCTCTTGACCTTCTCTGTTTCGCAGGGACTAGAGACAGGGAGAATCATGAGGAGTATGGAGGCCAGGGACTTTCAGGAGGTGGGGCTGGGGCTGGGGGGCTGCCCCAGAGCCAGTTCCTGGTCTGGGTCTGGCTCCCCAGGCTGGCTGGCTGCCTGGGAACTAGACTTGTTTACAAGCTGGTCAGGGGGAGGGATGGGCAGTAGTAGCAGCTAGAATCCCAAGGGACCAGTTTGTTCCCTGCCCTCCTGTCCTTGCTCCCATCCTAAATACATAGGAAATGAAACTCCAGAAGGGGCGTGGCAGGGGGCATTGGGCAAAACACCAAGCTTTGCTTCCGATCTCTGGTTTCTGTCAACTCTGTGTGGGCTGAGCCACTCTGAGCAAGTCAGTTCCTTTTGTGGGCTTCAGAAAAACTGAGGAGTTAGCATGAGAGACTCACATACCCCCTATAACTTTGGCTTTTGACACCACATCAAGTAATATCTCCCCCATCCCCACTCACATTTCACCTTCCTTCCTTTATGCTTCCTTAGACAGTGAACTCTGCTTTTCAGGCCTTTGGGTCAGCATTGGCCTGGGATCAGCCCAGAGAAGATGTGCTCCTTTGGGAGAATTTGCCTGTTTTTGGGTCTGACGCACAGTGGTGGTCATACACAATATATAGGATCTGGGATCCTCATCAAACAGCCATTCCTGGGCATAGAAAAAAATGAGGCTACCCCTGAAAGAAATAAGTTGCGGACAAGAAGGGGCAAGCCTATGGATGGTCATTCTAACCGGCTTGGCCTGCACCAAGGTCTCTCTACTAAGGACCATGGTTGGTAGGATCAATTGCCCAGGGATGTGGTATCAGGGGCCAGCCAGTCCCTGTTGGCAACATCTGTAGACCTAAGCCCTGGAGGTCCTAGATTTCTGGCCTAACCTACCTTTCCATCTCTTGAGTCAGAGGGACAAGAACAATGTCAGAGATCCCCCAGTTCAGCCCCACCCATCTCACCCTCGTTATGCAGATGAGCAAGACAGGAGACAACTGACTCTGGCCACTGGTGGGGGGATCCCTATTGCAAGACACAGTAGATGAATATTTCAAACACAAACAGTGCTGTAGGGAAATGGGCACGTTAGATATCAGAAGACTTCCGGTGGCCTCCCACAGCATCCTCCACACAGCCCCGTACTCCTAGCAGGGTTGATTAACTCCAAATATATTCCAGATAACATCGCTAAACTTCTGGACTCAGACCCACCCTAAGTCATCAAAATCTTAGCATCTCTCCAAACTCACCTCAGATCCCACTTGCCCTAAGGAGCCTCCCTGGGCCCCAATCCCCACCGACCTTCCTCCATGCATCCCCCAAGGTGTCACTCATTTGTGGCGGGGAGGGGAGTGTCTGTTATCCTGCCAGTGGTATAATTAATTTTTCATGTTTGCTTGTCTTATCTTTCCAACTAGGTAGAAAACTCATCAAAAGACAATAAGCTCATGCATGGGCATTCATGGAGTACACTCAGGGTTTTTTGGGATCCACCAGACTTGAGTTTGGATCTGGGCTCTGCCATTTGCTTGTTCTATGATGTTGAGTGAGTCCCTAGCATGTGAAGTTGGCACTTAGTCTTCATTAGATGGATGATGAAAATAGTAATATCCACCTCCCTCCCAGATTACAGATGCAGAGAACCTGTCCAGAGAGTGGGCTTCCTCCAACTACTGGTGTTTGTCTTCCCACTCACACCCTTATTCATCTTTTGAGCCTGCCCAGTTTAGGGCAAACCGTAGGGTGCAGGCAGCATTGTGGATTTCCAAGAACAACCTTTTCTCCAACTCTCTGCTATTTCTTCTCAGCTTGGATCCCTGCGTCTCCTCCTCCTCCATCCAGCCCTGCTCCTGGACCAAATGTACCCTCTAGGACCCTCCTCTTCCCCAGCAGGCCCTCCTGGGTGGATCACTGAGGCCAAAGGGATCACAGCCCACTGGTTGCCCAATGCCCTCTGAAGGATCTCCAAGTCAGCCTCCCTCTATTTCCCCGCCCCTGCTCCTAAGGTCCCCACACTGACCCCACCTCCCACAAGCCAGCAGAGGGAGCCCTGAGCCCTGGGGCTGTGGGTGGGGGTGGGGGAGGTTGGTGGTGGAGAAGGGGCAGAAAAATGTTGCCTGACGGCTGCTGAGGCGGCTGGGCCCGGGCCTGTGCCCGCCCGCCTGTCCTGTCCTGCTCTGTCTAACTCGGTAATTACTGCTCCCCCTCCCCCAGCCCCTACCCCCACCCAAACCACCACATCAAAGCCAGTGATGCCCAGCTCCATTAACCCCTGCCTCCCCACTGCCCCCCAGCTACCCCATTCCCCCCTCACCACTCCTAACTCAACTTGGTTCCCTCTGCCCTTCCTCACCCATCTGTCTTCATCACTCTTGGGAGAAGTGGAGGCATTCCCTTCTCTGACAGACTTCGCTGTGCAATGGGCTTCCTATTGGTCAGGGCTGAAGCAGGCGAAGGTGCCCCAGGAGACTGTCCTGGGCCCTCTACTCGCCCTATCTGAGGGTGGGACGGGGGAGCAGGAGAGGCCTGTGAAAGATCCTGTGCCCCTTTCCTGATCTCCCACCCCCTTACAAGAATGAGATACTGAGCCAGAGGTGGACTCAGTCCAGCTCTGAGCTGCCTGGATTCTGGGTGGCCAGGGGCAAGTCATCTTTTCACTGCCTGTCCGTGACCTTGCCGCCTTCACATGTAAGTGAAAATATTGGACCTGATTGTCTCTAAGTGCTTTCTAGATCTACTTTCTAGATTAAACAGAGGTCTCGGAGCTGGAGGAACCAGCCAGAGAGGCCAAGGTGGAAGCCTCCCAGAGGCCTTTCTCTCCCTCAGCTCCTCCTCTGGCAGTTCTGGAGAAGCACCCGAGGGAGTGCCTGGCCTAGGCAGGAAGGAGGGTGCAGGCTGGGGGTGCTGTCACTGACCCACAAAGGACAGGCGTCTATGTTCCGAGTGCCTCCAGCCACCCTTCCGCCAGCCTGACAACCCTGCCCTCGCCTCATCCCCTCCACAGTGGCATTTCTCCATCATAGTGCACATTCTGGAACCCTGCCTTGCTGGGCCTGGTGAGCAAACCTCCTGCTAACCTCTCCCCACCAACTCCTGGCTTCTGATGAGAACAGGGCAGGAGGGGGCTGCACCCCCCAGGAAACGTCTCAGTGCCAGAACTCTGGTGGGCTCAGGGCATGCTCTGGCCTGGATTGGGCCAGCCTCCTTCTGCCCCTGCCCTTTTCTGCTCACAGCCCCATTGTCTCCCTTCAGGGGAAGCTGCCAAGGCGGGAGGCCTGGAGGGGGGAATGGATGGCCAACCCACCCCCTTCTGCACCCCACCCTGGAGCTCAGCAGGGGCCAGCAACAGGACTGCCCGCAATGGGTCAGGGCCCCAGATAAAGACAGGATGGGAAAGGGTGGTCAGGCCCAGCCTGGGTTGGGGGTGGCAGCTAGAAAACCTGACTGCCACAAAGAAGCTGGGGTCCTTTCCCTGCCTCCCTGTGGGGCCAGATGAGGCTGTCCTAGGCCTCTGGCTCCCATTTCCTTTTCCAGGAGGGGGGTGGATGAAAGACAAGATGGGATGGGGGAAGGGAGTGACACTGGGTGGTGTTTTCCCTAGTGGAACAAGGGGAGGGTTAGTTTCTTTCATAGAAAATATAAAACAGGACTGGGCACAGTGGTTTATGCCTGTTATCCCAGCACTTTGGGAGGCTGAGGCAGGCAGATGACTTTAGGTGAGGAGTTCAAGATCAACCTGGCCAACATGGTGAAACCCCGTCTCTACTAAAAATACTAAAAAAATTAGCTGGCGTGGTGTCAGGCACCTGTAATCCCAGCTACTTGGGAGGCTGAGGCAGGAGAATAACTTGAACCTTGGAGACAGAGGTTGCAGTGAGCTGAGATCGCACCACTGCACTCCAGCCTGGGTGAGAGAATGAGACACTGTCTCAAAAAGAAAGAAAAGAAAAGAAAGGAAAGGAAAAGAAAAAGAAGAGAAGAGAAAAGAAAAGAAAAAACAGAAAGAGGAAGAGGGAAGAGAGCGATTGATTTGACCATTCTATGAGAGTGAGCTATTTTCTACATTCATTGATTGGAGGTATAAATAACGATGGGTCAGATGTTGTAAAGAACTTCCTGGGGGTGGGCAAGGCTGGAGCAGGGAACAGAGTGGAAGCGGGAAACTGGTGACTGGGAAGCTCTCCTTCTCTGCCTCACTCCCAAGACAGGGTTTGACAGGGCCACAGCATAGGCTGGATAACCTGGATGCAATGAGGCTGGACAAGATGACCTCCAGAGAGCCTGGCCAATGTCTTGGAATCTGGGATTCTATAATTCACAAAGATATTATTACAGATGAGAGAAAGACAGAGAGGCTGGAAGCAGAGTTTATTTTTATTGATTGATTGATTGAGACAGAGTTTTGCTCTGTCACCCAGGCTGGAGTGCAGTGGCATGGATCTCGGCTCACTGCAACCTCAGCCCCCCAGGTTCAAACGATTCTTCTGCCTCAGCCTCCCGAGTAGCTGGGATTACAGGTACCCACCACCACTCCTGGCTAACTTTTGTATCTTTAGTAGAAATGGGGTTTCACCATGTTGGCCAGGCTGATCTTGAACTCCTGACCTCAAGTGATCTGCCCGCCTCAGCCTCCCAAAGTGGTGGGATTTCAGGACTGAGCCTCTGTGCCTGGCCTGGAGGCAGAGTTTAGAAAGCATGCATCACATTGGAGTAAGGAGGGGGAGTGAAAAAGGTGGGAGAGAAACTTCTCAGGAACCTGGAGTCAGGTCTCCAAGCCAATTCCAAGGGCATGGGCCACACCCCTGCAGGACTCCCCTTTCCTGACCAAGACAGTCGAGTCACTCAAAGGTCCTGGGGTCCTCTCTGCTTCCAGCCTGGCTGCTGCTAGAATATCAGAGTGGGATGTAAGAGGCCGCTGCAGCTGCTTTCCTGGCCAGCACTGGAGCTCTGACCTGGCCAGGATTCTCTGACAAGTAGGGAGAAGAAGGCCAGTGAAAGCAGGTGCTGGGCATCGGGGAACAGCCTGGAAGTCCCTACTGGGAAAGATGCCAGCTGAAGTGAGACTGGGGGGCTGGGGGAGTGGAAGAGCCTCAGGCCAGTGGGAATTATTGGTCCAACCCATCAACCCACACTTGACCTTGGAGGGCACTGGTGGGGTGGGGAGGGATCAGGAGTGTAAGCAGAGTCAAAGATCCAGGGGAAGGGGGTCTGGGCTCAGACCAAAGAGATGAAGTGTCAGAAATAGACAGGTGACCAGGCGCAATGGCTCACGCCTGTAAGCCCAGCACTTTGGGAGACCAAGGTGAGCAGATTGCTTGAGGACAGGAGTTTGAGACCAGCCTGACCAACATGGTGAAACCTTGGCTCTGCTAAAAATACAAAATTTCGCCAGGCGTGGTGGTGGGCACCTCTAATCCCAGCTACTCAGGAGGCTGAGGCAGGAGAATCATTTGAGCCGGGAGGTAGAGGCTGTAGTGAGCCAATATTGTGCCACTGCACTCCAGCCTGGGTGACACAACGAGACTCCATCTCAAAAAATAAAAAATAAAAGAGGCTGGGCGTGGTGGCTCATGGCTGTAATCCCAGCACTTTGGGAGGCGGAGGTGGGCAGATCACTTGAGGTCAAGAGTTTGAGACCAGCCTGGCCAACGTGGTGAAACCTTGTCTCTACTAAAAATACAAAAACTAGCCAGGCATGGTGGTGGGCGCCTGTAGTCCTAGCTACTTGGGAAGCTGAAGCAGGAGAATCACTAGAACCCAGGAGACAGGTTGCCATGAGCCAAGATCGCACCACTGCACTCCAGCCTGGACGACAGAATGAGACTCTGTCTCTAAGTAAATAAGTAATAAATAAATAAATAAATAAATAAATATAGAAATATAGAAATAAAGAAAGAAAAACAAAATAAATAGAGGAGAGTGAAGGGGCCAAGGCAGGCAGGAGAGGCTCATTCCCTCTGAGGCACATCTGAGCAAGGCAGTTGGACACCTTATCACCGGGGCCCCTCACTCCTCACCCGGCACACCCTGCAGCTGTGGCCATGAAGGCCTCTGTGTTCTCCCACACCTGCCCGTGTCACCTCCTCCCCCACTCCCTTCTTCCTAGCTTCAGGGTCAGTCTCTCAGGGACCAGGCCGCTCTCCTTTGGCTTGGCTGCCACCCAGGAGTCCCTCCTGAACAAAGGAACCCCCACAGATATAGAGCCCAGAAAGGTGAATCAGCCTGTCCAATGACACTCCACAAACCCGTCTCCAGCACCAACACTCTCCTAGGCCTCAGGGCTCCTAAAGACAAGGTATCTGCCTTCCAGGAGCAGGGAAGAGAGACCTAAAGGACTGTTGTCAGCCAAATGCAGTAACTAGCATAGTTGCCCAATGTATGTGATACAGTGGGAGCACAGAGAAGCCAATGGAAGGAGGACAAGGGGGCAGCTTCAGGGTGGAAGTGGTATTTTAACTGTAAGGATAAGAATGATTTAGACAGACGGGGAGGGAGGGGAAGGAAGACAATGGCCATCAGGGAGGGACCCCATCCCCATACCTTGAAAAAGGGCAAAGTTAGGAAAGGCGTTTATGGGGAAAAGAGATTCCTTTACAACATTTTCCTTGAAACTCTGGATTTTAAATTTAAATGAATCCCCTTTTTCAATCCTGGGGACCCTGGCCAGGAGAAGCTGGGTTGTGAGGAGGGCACCGCACATACTAAGTACCTCCTAAGGTCCTGTTATTCTACACGTCCTCCTACCTAACCTTCCCAGCAAGCCTGCCAGGTGGGGAGACTGTTATCCTATTTCCAGTCAAGACTGAGAGGTAGGGAAAGGAAGTGACTAGCCCAAGATCACAAACATAATGTTTAGATCTTAGATCTATCTGCTTCGAAGCTGCCACTGCATTATACTAAGCCGGATCAAAGGGCATGTGTTCCCTAGTTGGGACCTGGGTCGTCCTCGGTTCGCCCCTTCCGTGACACTCGCGTGGGACGGCTCTCCGCATCACGGAGGATTGCGGCCCGCCGCTCCCTGTGTGGGCATCCCACTCCCTATCTCTCCAGAGCACCGGGATCTGCCTCTCTTTCAAATCTGGGGGGCGAGGGAGGAGCGGAGGGTCGACAACCAGCCAATCACGTGGCAATATGCAAATAGGCACGACCCTGCCTTCTTAAGATTGGCTAACCCGTCAGCGTTGTA